AGTTCAGGTGCGTGGAGCACGAAAGTTTTGGAACGCAAATGAGCAGCAGGGGGATTCTGTTTCATGATCGTCGATTGTCGTACGATAGGATGATGAACTGGAAGTCGAATTCTATTCTATTCCTCGATCAAGGCGCGATCGAATTTTACTTCAGAAATAATCGTTTTTTTTTGCGAAATTGGATGAGATTTTGATCCAAACCGAGGCCAAAGCCATCACAAATTCCAGGTTATAGTGGTTGTATTGTTTTTATGTATTTAAATTTTCTCAACAGGAAAAGGAAAATTAAAATGTTACTAATTGTTCCAGATGGTATTTTTTTTAGCAGCTAAAGATGGACGAAGACATTTGGCTCTAATTCGTCGACAACAAGAACTATAAAACAGAAGTACCTAATCCTTTCTCTTTACTTGAAAAAAAAATATTGAGCAATTTGTATTGAACAAAAGGTTGGTTCGTCTTCTGATAAAATCATTGAGACCCCACTTAGTGGATAGGTCAAAAATGAAGGGAATTACTACAGAATCTAAAATATTCTGTGCATTGAGGTTTTATGCAACTGGATCATACCAAAGATACTACCTTATGCTATTTTGCACTTTCTTAGGAGTTCGCTCGCCAAGCCCCAATGAATTGACTTGGCTTACCTTATTCACAGTTTTTTTTATTGATTTCGTGCCGATTAGACTCTGAGAATCAGCCTGTGGCCATGTTCTGTACTGTTGTAAAAATGTTATTAACATTTCCCAGTGGGCATCTCTGAGTTTGAACGACATCAAAAATGAATTGAATATTATATTTATGAAGTAATTAGTTGATTCCACATTTTCACAAAAATAAAATGATGTAACCCCCACATGATTCATCCAAGAAACAAAATACCAGATACCGAAAAAAGATGGCCGATTCGACTCGATTCGTGTCTCCCTGCCGATCAGGTGCGCGGTACTGTACCGAGCTGCCCGATTACGTTGCTGGAAAGTGGCTATGATTAGAGCAATCGCCTTTGAATCTACCACTCTGACCTCTGTAGACAGATTCATACCAGAGTACTTGAACATGTATAAATAATTGAAAAATCAGTGAACCCCCATATTGATGAATATAACACAAGAAGTTCATTTGCAAATCAACCACCAACATTCTTTTGATATCATTAACGATCTGGAACTTTTACATATTTGCCAGAAAGGTGCTATTCTCAACCTATTTGAAATTTTCGAAATTAACGCGTCCTTAAATGATTCTAATGTTATTTCACTCAATGAGCAAACTCATTTTGATTGCCAAAAATTTTTCAATTCTCTGGTTTTTTATTGATCAACTTATAGTAATATGCTTTTCATCTTTCAGTTTTGAAATCTTTTTCCTGCTTTGGTCTCTACTAGCCTTTATGTTCATTCAAATTTATGTACCTAGGTATCTTCTCATTGTTTTAGGTCGAGTGGTGCTTCTGGTCGTCCACTATTCTTTATCTACGGACAGTTGACATTGTCACTGTCATATGTGTCTTGTCATCACAGAACTTGCGTTTTGTGGATTGCTAAGAATGCCACTTGTCCTTTCATCTGATGATGTAGGTTTGTTTTGAGTAATTGTTTGACTCCACTCTTTTTTCGTTTTTTTCCGAAAATGGGTTTTACCATTAAATCTTGATTATGTACGTCCTGATAGGGACACAGGGCTCCTTTACAATGGGCTTATATCACAAAAAAAATTTATTTCATAATTCTATAGAACTCCCCCAAACTAGCTCACCACCGCAAACCGTTTCTTGCTGTGAGCTCCCTGCGTTTTATAAAAAATTATTGAAATCCCCGATTTTTCGGACCTTAATACTGAAACAAGACTATTCCAGACAGAAATGAATGATACATGATTTCTGACAGAGTGAATTAGCGCGAGATCACAGTTGAAAGGATTGATATATCAGTTGCCTCAGTCTCCGTCAGGCGTTTGGTATTTTCTTTCAACTATGGCGAGATGAGGTTTCTACGTCATAAGAGGGTCCGTTTTCAGAAGGTACTATTAATTATGTCCAAAAATAAAACTTTCCAGTTGATTTTTTGATCAAATTATGTCGTCAATCATTATTTATGTATAAAAGGATCATTATAAACATGGTTTGAGTTAAAAGTTCTACTAAGGTGTACCCGCCCATTAACCTGGCCCTTCACCGTAGTCCAGTCAAGATGTACATCCGTGCTTGCAAAAGGTCCAATCATTCTGAATTGTTTATATGTTATAAGGACCTAAACTAAGAGTAAAAAACCAGATTTGCAATTTCCAAAGACTTGTGCGACCCGTGTTATAGCCGAAAAACCACAAAATTTTCGCACTTTTTTCAGTTTTCGGTCAATATCTCAGTGAAGGAAGGGTCTGAAGGGTATAGTGATTCTATACACTTTCAAAGTAAACTATATGTGCTGCAATTTGATGCTAAACTGAACTCTGTACGACCATTGGTTCCCGAGATATACCACTTCGAAAATAGGCCATTTTTTCAAAAAAGTGAAAAATTGTCAAAATGTTCTCTTATTATGTGAAATATCTTAGAAAATAGGCATCCTACGTCAAATATTCCATTCGATGAAGTTATAGTTAATCAAGTTACCGCCAATTTAAGAGCAGCAGGATAACTGTAGGTTCAGCGGTTGTCTCAAAAATGGCAGGTAACCAAAAACAGTCAACATGTGGGTTTTGGGGAAAATGCAAATAAGCAGTTCTCACGTCTTCTTATGGTTTTTATTGATCAAAAAAGGAATTGTTTAATGGAAAGAAAATATATTGGGAGTTACGTCATAATCAAACATTGTTTGATATGAATACATAAGTGCTCAAACATCACTATTGTACCTACTATATATAAGAACAAATGCCATTTAAAAAACAAAATACAAAACGAACATAAATCATGCACTATGTTTTGGTTGCCAAATCATGCATTTTTTTCATCTTGGAAGGCCCGGGCGTGGGGTTACAGGAAGATGGTGTCTCTGTGGCTGTTATGGACGCAGGGAGAGGCTCCCAGTCTGTCGTCGGATCATCTTCATCGTCCGAGCATTCCAGCTCCACAACTGGAACGTTAAGGCGCGATTTGCCACCGCATAATTGACAGAGGACTGAGCAGTGGAGCCCAGCCTTTCTGCACGAGCAGCCCCCAGAGCACCCTTTTTTGCATTTACAAGAAATTTTTCGTAGAAGAGCAGGAGGTGCCGGATCCTGGGTGGTGGGGATGGGAGTGAGTCCCTGATAAGACTGCTTCCACCCCCAATCCACGGGATTCAAGTTAACTCCCCGCCACTTCTGCACTTGGAGATAGCACCTTGCTGCATGGTGGCCTGCAGCATCTTCCGTCGGTGGCAAACGGGCGAGGTTCATGCTTGCTGAAGTGACAAATGTCTTATACCTCAGGAGATCTAGAGTATCCCTCGTGATGTCACCCCCATAAAGAGCCACAAAGCACTTGATGCCTGCTTCTCTCACGGCTTGTGGGGTAGAGTCTGGTCGAAGGAAGACTTCCACTTCCGCAGCAAGTGGTTCACTCTTGCTCAGCAGTGTGGTGAATTTGGTCTTTCCTTGGCCAAATGGTGATGAGGTGGTATCACACCCAGTGAACGCGTGGGTGAAAAGTACCATCCCTGGTGAGTGCTGAAAGTCCTGGTGGTTGTAGGAAGTGGTTGAGTAGTGGCAGCAGCCAGCTTCACCCTTAGTACTCTTCTGAAGGTAGACGTTTGTAACGTCAGCGCCTAAACCATTGAGAAGAACGAGCAGGTCAACGTCTTCTCCCACTATAACGACCCGATCGGCTACTGCTCTTTTCGAAAGCGCCGTAATTACGATCTCTCGATCCGCATCTTCTTCGGCAACAGCCACTTCTACTCCCTCTTTCCGAAAGGTGTCACAAAGAAGAGTTATTAGGCGTCTCTTATTATTTTCATTGCCCAATACGTGCTCTTGAGCTGGAATCATCAAACGTCAATTCGTAGCTGGAATGAGCTGCGTATCGCCGGAGTCGTTCCGCTGTTTTGGTGTTTTTTTTGCAGCGTCTTCGGGGTAGCCGTCGAAAATGATGGAGACATTCTTTCCAAAGTGGTTACGGACGAAGGTGATATAACGTGCCAAAAGTGCTGGAACCGAGCTTTTCCTCTGCCACACAACCTTGTGCAAGAGGTAGCCACCATCCAAGACAACGTGAGTGCTAGTATCTATCGGCGTGTTGTTGGGAAGAGGAGTAAAGGCAGAGTATAGAGTGGATTTTGTGCCCTTGCGCATCCCCTGTTCATTGAACAAAGACATTGGGAAAGGTGCCAACTCGTACTTGAAGTGATCCTGTAAATCCTTTTCCGATTGCTTCGCAATACACAATTCACAAAATCGACAGATTTTCAGTTTTTGGATGAGATGGCCTCTATTCGAAGAACTGTATCTCGGGAACCAATAATCATACAGGGCTCGTTTTAGTGTCATATTGAAGCAAATTCAGTCTACTCTAAAAGTATATAGGGTGACCATACTCGTCAGACCCTTCCTTCACTGAGATATTGACCGAAAACTAAAAAAAGTGCGAAAATTTTGTGGTTTTTTTGCTATAACAGGGGTCGCACAAGTCTTTGGAAATTGCAAATCTGGTTTTTCACTCTTAGTTTAGGTCCTAATAACATACAAAAAATCCAGAATGATTGGACCTTTTGCAAGCACGGCCCCCTTCTCATGTTTAACTTTACTGAACTACCGGTGCTTATTTGCAAAACAAGATTATTCAAAGTGTTTTTCATAATGCTTTTTTCATTCCCACATGAATAATTTCTCGATTTCATATATTTTTCATGATTAACTTGTATCATATTATAGGACCTTTGGTTTGTAGGGATTAAGGCTAATGATGGACCAATGACTGTCCGAAACATGTTCCCCCAAATAATCTTTCGATTATTAAACGTTGTGAAGATGATATTCTATTTTCTAACCCCCAATGTACTATAATTTGATTCTATTACCTTTGCACAGGGCCTGCTTCAAAGCGATCACCTTCTTCACCCGCTGCTCGATGAACTCTCTCTCCGCAGACACCATCTTCTCTCTTTCTTCGGCAGTCTTGTAGAAGAAACCGGAATTCACCTCGCTTTTCTCGTACTCCATGCTGACGTTGCACGTCAAGATGTAGCAGTTCTTCAGGCTCTTCGGCATGTCCGGATGACGAGAACCATGGTCCAAAACCAGGCCTGCATTGAGATATCTCATGGATTCCATTGTCGATTTCAAGAAAATGCTGATTACGACCAGACGACATGTCGTTTTTTGTACAGGGTTATGAATCGAGGAGGTCCACCCCTATATTCACGTTATTTTTTATCGAGAAAAAAACAAACGATATGCGGAAGTTGAATGCCGCAATGAGGCCTTTCCACAGCCCAAAGTTTTACAGGGTGATCCTTAAAAGTGTGGCAAACCACAAATTGATTTGTTTTTAAATGGAATAAAAATATATAGGGTGTTCTATTTGAAATAAGGAAGTTGAGAATGATTCCGGAAAAATTGAAAACGTGGCAACATTATCTTCGGATAGGAGTGACTGAATTCCGCCCTTACATATTGTCTGATAAATTGTGTACCATCGAGGTTTTGATTATTTTGTAATTTGGGCAATATGAATAAAGACATATTATTATTATTATTATTATTATATAATTTTTCGAACCGCCACATTTCCAATTCACCATGTATAAAAATTCAGAAAGATCTAACTACTGGTTATTGAGATATATGGTTAGTTCCATACATTTGATTAACTCTATATACAGGGTGTTCCTTGAAGACATGCTAATAATTGAGGGGGTGATTCTTAGACTCATTTCAAGAAGAAAACTCCATATGAACGTATGTTCTAAAAGTCTCAACTTTTGAGATAGAGGGTGATGAAGATAACTGAGAAAATAAATATTGTATACATCTTCGTGAAAGGGCCCCGCACGAAAACACTGGAAATTGGCTCTCGGTCGAATTGGCTGAAATTTTACTATGTTGTTGTGGGATGGCTCATTAAAAAAATATGTGAGTTTGAAAAGTTTTGTATGTTCAGTTTCTGAGATATAAGCCGACAAAGTTCGTAAAAACGTCGTATCGGGGTAGGATTTAGTATATTTTTAGTATAAATAAGACAAAATGAGCTAGAAAATCTATTGATCGGAACTCAAATACATGTCTAGTTATGATCACATCAATTATAATAAATCAGGGTGTATACGAGGCACGGTCAAAAAATTCATTTTTCGGTAAAATTCGAGCATTATTCCAAAACCAACAAGTTTTATTTTGGTCAGACATTATAGTATTGGAGGCTTCGAAAACGTATTTTCGTTCTTGATAACTATCTCTGCTCGAAATATGAATTTTTTGAATTCTGTGTTACACCCTTTTTGGAAATCAATTGACACCTTGTTTTTGATCACAAAAAAAGGATTAATTGATACTGGTGATTGAATGAAAGCTGAGGTAACACACTAGCGAATTCAGTTGTCCAATATTGCGTTTCATTTAGAAACAGGGTGTGTTAGATTTTGTTGAAGATTATTTGAAATGTTTCAATTGAATATCTAGAGAGATACGCATCCCTGTAATACCTGTAATACTATAAACTCAAAAATTGATATCTCAGAAACGAAACATGAAAAATTGAAAAACTTTTCGCATATGATAGTCAACATATTCAAAATAATGTGAGTAAAATGAGATCAAAATTGACGGAACTGTTTTCGAGACATTCAATTGAAACATGTTGAATAATCTTCAACAAAATCTAACACACCCTGTATCTAAATGAAAGGCAATATTGAATAACTGAATTCGCTAGTGAGATATCTCAGCTTTCATTCAATCAACAGTATCAATCAAACCCTTTCTTTGTGATTAAAAATAAGCTGTTAATTGTTTTCAAAAAGGGGTATAACACAAAATTCTAAAAATTCATATTTCGTACAGAGATAGTTAAAAAGAATCAAAATAAGTTTTCGAAGCCTACAATAGACTGAAACTATAATGTCCCATCAAAATATAACTTGTTGGTTTTGGAATAGTGCTCTAATCTTTTTTCCGAAAAATTAATTTTTTGACCGTGCCTCGTATACACCCTGATTTACTATAATTTATGTGATTAAAACTAGACATGTTTATGAGTTCCGATCAATACATTTTCTAGCTTATTTTGTTTCATTCATACAAAAAAAAAACAGTTTTTTTCTTTGTCAATCCTACCCCGATACGACGTTTTTACGAACTTTGTCGGCTTATATCTTAGAAACTAAACATACAAAACTTTTTAACCTCACATATTTTTCTAATGAGCCATCCCTCAACAACATAGTGAAATTTCAGCCAATTCGACCGAGAGCCAATTTCCCGTGTTTTCGTGCGGGGTCCTTTGGTACACGTCTTTTATGCATCAAGGTGCATTTTATGATGTCACAAATTTTCATTTTCTCTACCAGTGGCACCGCTACGGGAATTTTATTATTACTATTTAACTTAAACTGAGCAACGACGGAAAATTTTCAAATTTCGTACAATGCTATGAAAGGCTATTCAACTATGTACAAAAAATATCCTCTTGTTGATACTCGATAGAACGCCTCGTTTCTTAAAAAAATCGGAAAAACGAGACCAGACTTGAACTTTTGATGTCTGAGTACTCCATTCAGGACATCCATTACTGGATAACCACAGTATGTAACATTTTGAAATCTCCATACCGATTCAGTCACATAGAAGACTGAATTTTGCCAGCACAAAAAGATACAGAGTGGACAAAAAATGGGTTGAGTGGAAGAGCAGCTATCGATTTATCGGCGAGTTGAACTCTGCCTTTTGTTTCATTGAGACAATAAAAGCATTTATTATTATTATTATTATTATTATTAAATAATCTATGCATATTTTCGACATTGACACCCTGTATCTCAAAAGTTAGGACATATAGGAGATATGTTCATTAGAAGTGAAATTCTTGAAATGGGTCGAATAATCGGCACCTTGAACATTAGCATATCATTAAGGGACACCCTGTATACTTTTGCGATCACAAAAAATCACAGATTCCAAAACAAATGATAAACAGGGTGTACCATTAAACAAAATCAATTTGTGGTTTGTCACGATTTTAGGGATCACCCTGTAAAACTTCTGGTAAAAGTGGTGAAAATGCCTCATTGCGGCGTTCAACTTCCGCATATCGTTTGTTTTCCCTCTATGAAATACAAAGTGACTATCAGGGTGGGCCTTCTCGATGGATAACCCTGTACATCATGTTATAGAATGGCCGATAGTGACAGGTTTTTTGTAACGTTTTTTTAATGTATGCAACTTCCAAGTAATTATTTTCATTGTTTTTCAACATGTCCTAGACAATTATCAATTTTGAATAAAACAACAAATAGAACAATGTCAAACGACCACACTTCTTTTATAAAATACAATTAATCACATGTAACCAGTTTCGGCACTACGGCCATCACAGACTTGGATTACCAAGTATTGAAAATTGTCAGTTCTGGTGATTACACTTATTTAAAAAAATATTAAAAATATTTATGAAAGTACACGCGAATTTGGAAGTTGGAAAATCGAGGAACGTTTTTAAAAAACCATGTTTTTCCTTCAAGGTAGAAGAGAGAACTGACTTTATTAAATGAAATTTACAAGTAATTCGTGAGATAAAAATGGTGTGATACAATTCATAGAAATGAAATACGAAACTGCTGAATCCGCTGATGAGAGTCAAACTCGTGTGTTCTTGAGGTGAATAACAGGAATATGGAAACGTAACTCGCGTCTTGATTGAACATGTCGCGGTTGGACGGTATGAGCGCTCTTATTGCAGCGGTGATTGATAGAGCTGACACCGTCCACGTGCGACATGTTCTCTAAAGACGACTGTACAGGGTGATTCAAACTTCCCGCCCTTCGCTAATAACAGGAAAAGTGAAACTGCATATGCACATTTGGCAGAGGGGATTCGAATAGCTGTGTGTAAGGTATATTTTATCGTATTTAAACATATTTCAACTATTTTCAAAATGGCGGAAATGACGTCAGAAAAGTTATTTTTTCCACAAAGTCATCATTTTTTTCTCATATTCTGAAAAAACATATTTTTTTAAACATCTTTCATCCCAAAACTTTTTTTCTATCTTCATTGAGTTGATAGCTGTGAGACTCCAAAGTTGGAATTTTCAAATAAACCTCAAATGACCCCGTCGTACTAAGAATCAAGTCTGTCGAAAAACAAATTGTTTTGTTAGCAATTTAATACATTTTGCATTCATTTGAAACCGATTGAAGCTAAAAACCAGCCGACGTAATTTTTGTTACGCCGGGGTCAGATGAGTTTTATTGAAAAATGCTAACTTTAGCATTTAACCAAATGGAGATAGAAAAAAAATCCTGGATGAAAATCGTTTAAAAAAATATGTTCTTTCAGAAATAATTTTCAAATAATCCTTGACACCACCGTAATAAAAAACGAGTCGGCCGGTTTTTAGCTTCAATCGGTTTCAAATGAATGCAAACTGTATCAAATTTATCAAATTGCTCACAAAACAATTTGTTTTCCGGCAGACTTGATTTTAATTACGGCGGGGTCATTTGAGGTTTATTTGAAAATGCCAACTTTGGAGTCCCACAGCTATCAACTTGATGAAGATAGAAAAAAAGTTTTGGAATGAAAGATGCTAAAAATGATGTTTTTTCAGAATATGAGAAAAAAATGGTGACTTTGTGGAAAAACTTACTTTTCTGATGCCATTTCCGCCATTTTGAAGAGTTGAAATATGTTTAAATACGAAAAAAATATACCTAACACACAGCTATTCAAATTCCCTCTGCCAAATCTGATTCCCAGGCCAAGAACTTTTCGAAATAGAAACAATCTATTCGAAATAGAAACAATCCATATGAAATGTATGATGACATAGATTTCAATACCCGATTCAAGTTTCAACTTCAGTCAATCTGAATGAAGATCAAGCGAATAAACCTAACCTAAAATGCGTATCAACAATGCGCGGAACGCAAGGAGCAGACAGATTAGCGCTGTTGCCACGCCCTTCTCGTCATTAGTAAATGGAATGATTATTATAACATCAGATTGTTTATGCAACGCAAAAGACACTTAACATAACATCAAAGTTATTGTAGCATCAGTTGATTGTATGACTAATTTTTCTTTATGCAACCGGCCCTAAGTTATTATATCCAGAGAAACGAATATCAAAACTTCTTCCTGTCTGACCTATGTATGCAGCATTTGATCTCCATATTGTTTGGTAGGTTTCCAACTTGACATTTTCCTCATGTACTTTCATATTTATTATTTATAGGTCCTCTTTGCTGATGATGGCCGTAGTGCCGAAACCGGTTACATGTGATTAATTGTATTTTATGAAAAAGGTTGGTCAATCGACATCGTTTTATTTGTTGTTTTATTTTGGACCATTTTCAATGGTTGTGCTCGCATGCAGCGGCGTCACCAATCAAATTTGAATTCGTATTGAATATTGAAGTTTATTACGTAACTACCAATGGTCGATGTCCAGAAGTTTTCCTCACCTTTGATCAGCTGCGTGTCGGTCTCTGTTTTGTGCTGCATCTCCATCAGCTCGACCATGTGCAGGTCGACCGGCTTGTCGGCCTGCTTGATCGCGAGGACGGCGTCGACGCAAACATCGGTGAGGACGTCGGCCAGTTTCTGGTGCACCTAAACATCAGGATGAGTGATATTCTCAACCCATTAGTGTATAATGTCCGTTTGAAGCGGCGCACGTTTATGGCGTTACCTTGGGACGTTTCACATTGCCGACCAGTTATTTTGTATTTGAAGTTATGTTCAATGATCAGATGATCGAGTCATAGTACGTTTTTCTGTTATTCACTTCAACTGTATTCGTTAGTTCTAAGAGTTCATTGAACGTTATCAAGAAACGTTACATAACCGTGAGCACTTCTACCAAAATGTTTATTACACGTTGGCAAATAACGGTGGAGAAACGTTGTTGAAAAACATTTTTAACACGTTGATTTCTTGACCAGCAGTTGATTTCTGTTGAAAGAATGGCGTTGAAAAAACGATCATTCCAAGAGTTTAACAAACGTTTCGAATAAACGTTATATAACTGCTAGCAGTTCAACTATGAGTTGAAAAATAGTTTAACAACAAGGTATAATAAACGTTGTCAAATGAAGGCTGGAAAATGTAGTAAAATAACGTTTCATTCACGTTTTTCCCCACTATCAGTTAGAAAATGATGAAGGATTCACGTTCAAGAAACGTTTATTTCAAGAGTTTGTCTAACGTTTTGGGAGAACGTTTTATAAATGTACGAATTGCATGGATCGTTAGGACATATCGTTTTCAATGCGTGTATTAAACAGTTAATTTTAAAGTTATTCTCTTCAACCATATATCAACGTTGAATTCCTCAACCATAAACGTCTATTCAACCTGATCTACGTTGAAACGTTTACAAAACGTACGTGTGTCCATTGGGTTCTGTCGAAATTGTAATCAATTGATGATGGATGCTAGTCAGTATAGCAGCAGGAACGGCGGAATTTTTTCTGGCATCAATTTTTCAGAACTTTCCACATAAGATTGAATGAGTTCAGTCCAGAATATGTGTAGAAGTGATACATAAATGAACTTGTCGAAAATATTCGTGTCAGTAACAAGAAATAGCACCAAAATATGACCGTCCCTTTAAACGGACATCATACTCAGTGACCACTATTGTCTATGATGATCAGCTTTACACCAACTCCTACAAATTATAAAATCGGAAAATGGACTACGGAAAATCGACTAGAGAACAAGCACAGAAAGCCATAATTCAAATTCACTGTCATTAGCGACATCGGCTCATGAGCAAAGATCCTTAGACAAGTTGTCGCATAACTTTTCGAAGTTGCAATGAACGAGTGCTAAAAAACGTGGTCGGAATATGCGATATTATGTTGTTTTGAAGTTTTTCCAAGTTATTAATAGGCGAGTTTATGTAGGTTCTGAATTATTTTTAATGAAAATAAAAAAAAATACTTTCTCAGAACACTTTTATCATCTCTTGTCAAGGAAATATTGGAGTGAATTGAAAACCATTGTCCAGAAGGGAACACATTACACTCTGATCCAAAACATGATGAAGCTGAGTTTCACCATTCACTTTTGCAACAGACCCTTGAGAAGTCAAGGATTGAAGAATAATTTTTGTCTTACCGAGTGCTCCGAGATAAAAAAGGCCCTCAGCTTTATTTGAGAACTTAAATTCAGGCCAACATTCCAAAATTGGAGAAGAATTGAAAATGTTACAGGGCGATTGATTTGGTAAATTTTTTGTGGCCGGTTTTTTGCCGGTTAGGGTGTTTGCTAATGTCAATTTATATCAAAAAGTTATTGTGAGTGTATAAAGTGATTGATAAAGGATGGAAGATATATTCTAACAGACCCTGAAAGTGAATCCATTTGATTTGTCAACAAAATCCCATAAATTGTTCGATGTTATTAAATATGATTTTTTCGTTCCATTTCCAGTCGCCCAGAGGAAGTAATGTGTAGTGTAGCTTCCTGTTAAAGCAACTGAGAAAAACATCAAAGGAAATTGTGAAAATCTGATGACTGATGTAATATGGGAGAAATGGGTCAGGAAGTTGCTGTACAGAATAGACATGTTCCCAGTAAAATAGTCATTTATGAATCAAGGGCATAAAGTAGGCTTTCATGAGCCGCAGCGTGTAAGTGTCCGAGCGATAGCGAGGGCTATTAACGCGCCTAGGTCCATAAAAGCAAGTTACGCCCGAAAAACATACATTCTATGCACGACCATTGTAGACATGTATTTACTGTCAATATGGAATTCATTAATGATAATGAATACATTTGACAAAATTATTTATGCTACTGGTGAAGAGAGATTGAATGGTAGTCAACTAGTCAAAAGTCTCTTTTACCGCCCGCTCTACTTATTTATCGCCCTAGGGCGATAAAGTGCTACTTTACGGCCGCGAATCCGGTCGATTAAGTGTTTAGTGCTCTTTCTATTGAAGTGAAGGAAAGTTCTTTACAGAGGGATATTATTTTATACTATACATAATTCAAGTTTAGTATTGATAATAGAGATATGGTTACTGAAATTCAAGACATTACAAGATTTCCACACAATTCAACACATTACCATGGCGAATACATGAACAAATTCGAATGCCACGCAAAGTGACGTAATTCACGCTGTCGTTGAGTGGCTGAAAATGTATGAGCCATCCTGCTGAATCACCAATACTTGATGACCACTCACCTTAGTCCTCAAACTCGTCCTTGCCACATCAGTCAAGCTCTTCTTCTCGACCTCGATGCCGATTTTCATCTTGTCCAGCACTTCCAGAGCCTTCGCCCTCGCCTTATCGAAGCCCTCAGCCAGAATCCTCGGATGCAGCCCCTCGGCTACGTAAATGAGGTTTATAAAACTGACAGCCGTTTTGGAACAATTAAATGAAAATCATCTAGTGTTAATTAACTATTCATTGACTATTTTTCGAGTTAATTTTCAATACGAATTCGACTTTTTTCAACTCAAGCTGGCACAACCGTTCTTTTTTGGAAAAAAAACCTAGCACTATTCCAAAATCAACAAGTTATATTATTTTCAAAAACGTATTTTGATTCTTGATAACTATCTCTGTTTGAAAAATATACACCCTGATTTACTATAATTTATGTGATTATAACTAGACATGTTTATGAGTTTTGATCAATACATTTTCTAGCTTACTTTGACATATTTATACTAAAAAAACAGTTTATTTCTCTGTCAATCCTACCACTAAGCATACAAAACTTTCAACTCACATATTTTTGTAATTCCAATCCAATCAAGAGTTGCAATCGTGTCGGATTATTACAACTGCTAAACTGACACTCCTTGTAATAATAGTATAATCCGAATATCTTGAAGTACTTATACTGAATATTCCTCAATGTCAAGAAAAAGTATTGATTAAAGTATTGATTTTTTCCAAAAGTTTTTCCTAATGTGGAAGATTTCTAATCGACATTCCCTAATTATAAATGTACTAAAAAAAATATAGAGCATCCTTCTTACTGAATCTCGAAAATGGTGTCGCGTCAATTGGACGTGGAAAATTGGACGCACGATTATTGGTCGCAGTCAATTGGACGCGGCGACAATTGGACGCGGAGACAATTGGACGCGGCGACAATTGGACGCGGCGACAATTAGACGCGGCGTCAATTAGACGCATGCGTAAATAAAAATAATTTTATAATTCCAATGAAATTCATTGTATAAAATATGAAATACTGATGGGCTTATATCCATAATTATAACAAATACCTGACAGGTTAGGTTAGGTTAGGTTAGGTATTTGTTATATTATAGATATGAGCCCTGCATATTCCATGCAATAAATTTCATTGGAATTATAAAATTATTTTTATTTTCGCATGCGCTCAATTGTCGCCGCGTCCAATTTTCGTCGCGTCCAATTGTCGCCGCGTCCAATTGTCGCCGCGTCCAATTGTCGCCGCGTCCAATTATCCGCGTCCAATTTTCGTGCGTCCAATTGACCACGTCCAATTGTCGGTAATCCCTCGAAAATGATTCTGATATTATTCAAAAGTGACAAATTTACAGATCACTGTCATTCTTAGAAATGATGTGCGGTTTAAACAGAACAGCTTGTATATTTTAAATATCAATGTTACTGGCAATGTTCATAATAAAAATTAATAATTGTTAAATTCTTTAATTTCCACAATAATAAGTGTACTTGATAAAAAATAATCTATTATTTATTTTCAACATTAGTGTCAGAAGTGATTTTTTCAACACTGGTGTCTTCAAATAGCATTTTCAATTAATAGTAGATTGTTTTATTAGGATCAAAAGTGACACTTTGTTTGACAAGAGAATTTTGCATTCGCGAGGCGGAGCGTTTAGCGAAGCCGAGCGAAAGCAAAATTTGCGAGTCGAACAAAGTCACTTTTGATCCGAATGAAACATGCTATTTTTTCTGCAACCGAAACAATCAACTCAAATGAACATGTGAAGTAACCACCAATGCCGTGCCATATGTATGCAATGCAACCAATATTGACAAATAATCCATGTGGTGAGATTATTCTACCTGCATTAACAGCTGGTTAGGTTTTTTTAGGATGTTCGAATTGTAGTTTCAATATAAATAGTGACATATTTGTGTATGGACCAGGTGCTCTAATGGCAAATACCGCGCCAGTGCCAGCTATCGGAACAAGACGTGGAAAATGTTAGGTTAGTGAGCATATCAACGATGATAATCGTGATTATTTATTCCTCTCCATACTACACTGTGTTTGACTTGATAATCAAATGAAGCTAAACAACATCGTTGTTTGAGACAGAAAAACGATTGCTTACCGTGATTATTCAAAAACAAGTTATCCATCCCGAGAATAACGAATGAAATACAGATCAAGCAAATATTTGAATCTTGAAGGCTTCCCTGATCGAAACAAAAATACTTAACTGAGATGTTTATAATTCCAATACTAAACTATAATAAGGTGTATTTATATCTCCAGCATGGGTATGAAATGCCAAATCTGCTGAAATCGGAAAGAAATCAGGTATGCGTCTCAACCCAAATAACTAACCGTCACAATGTTGTTTATTCTTGATGACGTCCAGTACATCCTTTTTAGTTCCTAGGAGCTAAAGTTCAACTTTAGCTCCTAGGAACTAAAATTCAACTTTAGCTCCTAGGAACTAAATATGTTGCCTAGCAACATACCTATTTTGGTGTCAGTAATAGAAACGTCAATTCAAGAGCTAATTTTAGTATCAAAATGGACGACTTCTGTGTCGGTTGCAGAAAAACATTTTTGTATTAAACGATCATTCAATAGTAGATTGAATAGTGTTTTTTTTTAATCTCTTGGAAAGGAAAATCCTGAAATGTTCAACACTACATAATTTCCATTCGATCCTGGCCACATCCTGGCAAAACGGCCGCATCAGAGTCACTTCCACATACTTACCTATGTAGATGTCGGCTTGCTTAAGCAGCTCCCCGATGACCAAGACGGTGGAGGTGGTGCCGTCCCCAGTCATGTCATCTTGGGCGGTGGATGCGCGCGCAATCAGGGAGGCGGTGGGGTGTTGAATCTGCATCTCGTGCAAGAGGACGTTGCCGTCTTTGGTGATTTTTATGTCGCCTGCACCAGATACCAACCTATCGTCGAAGAAATTCAATTGAATATTTGTCAATATGGACAATTTTGGGTTGAGGTTTTCATATTCTTTTTTAAAAGCTTTTATTTCACTTGCAATGGGTTGCGTGCAAGAACTGTTAGATGACCGACACTGGAGGCAAAATATTGAAAAACACAACGTCACTTTACTTATTTGTTTACAAGTGATTGAAATAGTTTTTCACAATTATTTTGGCATACGAATCGTATTTTTCCGCTATTCATCAATTCGCTCATGCCATCACATTATGCTGTTGTGAAATGCACAAAAACTGCAGCAGAAGACGAAGTAATCCGGTTGGTACAATATGATTTAAAAGTAAGTACCTACTATAGTCACATATAGTTTTCATTTTTGAAATTTGGTAATTTCTCTGATTTCTCATCGGAATTCTTTCTGCGATAGAAGCTAATAGAAATACATCTGAAATTTCTAAAATAATGCCAGAAAATTGGATTCATGCAATCAATCGGGAGGACTGGTCTGACATATTGACGATCGTGTGTGTTGTAGACATTTTCAATCTATTAGCAGTATTAGCTTGTATTGCAGAAGTGACAGAAGGCAGAAGGAATTTTAATAAGGAATGACAACATTTCATAATGATAACTATGTGAGATTACTATTTACCAGGAAAAATAATATTCTTTAGTCTCTTGCTGCATTTTTTGTGCATTGTACAACAGCACAATGCGAAGGCATGCTCGAATTAATGAATAGCGCAAAAAACACGATTCGTATGCCAAAATATTGTGAAAAACTATTTCAATCCTTTGATTCCTCTGTAACCAAGTAAAAAAGTGAGGTTGTGTTTCAATAATTCACAGAAGGCGGCTCGGTGGTCGAGAGCGTGAAGGCGCTGAGTTCGTATGGGGACTTCCACCGAGACCTAGGTTCGAATCCTAGTTAGGCCATGGATGTTTGTGTTTGTCTGCTTACCTAACCCCGCACAAGTTTCGACTTATGGGGCGTTTGGTCCCAGTGCTGGGACCAACGAGGTAATGCAATTGCAAAAAAAATGCGAAGGCATGCTTGAATTAATGAATAACGCAAGAAACACGATTCGTATGCCAAAATATTGTGAAAAACTATTTCAACCTTTCGATTCCTCTGTAAACAAATAAAAAAGTGAGGTTGTGTTTCAATAATTCACAGAAGAATGAGGTTGTGTTTCAATATTTTGCCTCCAGGGTCGGTCATCGTGCACGCGACCTATGTATAGATGTATGTATGTATGTTAGTTCAGGTGGAATCTTTGAACTCAATTTTGAAGTAGATATCTTCAACCGATTGAGCTGAAATTTTGTATACAGGTTTAGTTTGGATGACAATTCAAGATAAAGTGTGTGAAGTTATTCTAAATCCAATATGGCGAACCATTCAAGATGGCGGATACTATATGGGTATCAAATGAAAAGGCTCGTTGGGAGTAACTCGAAAAATGATGTGACGTCATTCTGAATTCAATATGGCGGACCATCCAAGATGGTGGAATAGTTATTTTCAATGCACTTCTACAATATGGGTATCAAATGAGAAGGCTCGTTGGGAGTTACTCGAAAAATAATGTGACGTCATTCTGAATTCAATATGGCGGACCATCCAAGATGGCGAAATAGTTATTTTCAATGCACTTCTACAATATGGGTGTCAAATGAAAGGGCTCGTTGGGAGTAACTCGAAAAATATTGTGACGTCATTCTGAATCCAATATGGCGGACCATCCAAGATAGATATTTCAAATGCACTTCCACAATGTGAGTATCAAATGAATGGGCTCGTTGAGAGCACACATTTCCATTCACACTTTATGACGTGAAGAAAGTTGTATTTGAAATACAGTGTGGGTCACATGCGGTGTTGCCAAAGTTCAAGAAATATCATTAGATATATCATTAAGAATGTAAAAGTATTGATTTATAAAAAATCTAACAGGCCACATACAAGACATACTGTATGAGCTCTTTATATCAGAATTTGGCGACAAAATTGAGTAAATTCGAATGATATATAATAATCATTTACACAATTATTACAGCGCGTGACATCTTGAACTATTTGACAGGTCATTCAACATATGATCACGATGCATATGATTAACAATATATAAACACAGAAAAATCTCTGTGCCAACCAATGGGGTAGATCGAAATATCAAAAATATTCGAAAAAAATAATTTTCTCAATTATTACAGTGCGTGTCATCTTGAACTATTTGGAAGATCATCAAACACCTAATTACCAATATGTACACACATAAAAATATCTGTGCCAACACGTAGTCCAGATGAAAATCTCAAAAATATTGGAAAACAAATATTTCCTAAATTATTACGGCGCGTGTCATCTTGAACTATTTGAAGAATCATCAAACACCTCATTACCAATATGTACACACAGAAAAATATCTGTGCCAACCCGTAGGGGAAATGGAAATTGGAAATCGCAAAAATATTTGAAAAAATTAATTTTCTCAATTATTACGGTGTGTGTCGTCTTAGACTATTTGACAGGTCATTGAGCATAAATGATTATCAATAGATACACACACAAAAATATCTGTGCCAACACGTAGGGGACATAAAAATCGCAAAAATATTCGAAAAAATTAATTTTCCCAATTATAACTGCTCGTGTCATCTTGAACTATTCAGAGGATCATAGAACACTTCATATCCACTACGTACAGAGTGCGCCTCATAAAATGGAATCCCCCCTCAACTCTTTCAGGTACAAGAATTTCGAGATATAACACCCCCTAGATGTACAGCTTTATTTTACTTCAAATTTTCGAGAGATTCATTAACAAACTAACTCCAAATGTCTCAAAAGATACGAACAAATATGAAATAATTTCAGAATTTTCCAATTTTTACAAAGAAACGGTGGGTCAAAATCTAATCCACCATTTCATAAGGTGAAAGATTTCATGAGAATCGACGCATTTCAAATCACTGTGAAAGGTTTGCAAACATGTTTTGTTCTTTGCAAGACATAGTGAAACACCCAACCAGTTTGTTCCAACTTCAAACTCTCCTAAAATGCAAAGAGCATTATCTCCTTCGACTTGTTCGGATAGGTTGACTAGCACCCTGTGTGACTCTCATTACCGGGCTTTGACTGAGTGTTTTTCTCTATTTGAATCGTCCATTCGATTGTTCTCGATGAAGATACTGATATTTATTGACTACTAAATGATACAATCTTTCATTGATACCTTTGAAAGATATAGAGTATTCTGTGAAGAATAAATGAGTTGACTACACTGGCATCCAAGGAAAAGATTTCATGAATATCTGTTCCTTTATATGTCTTTCCAGTCGTCTGATGATCCTGCTTAGTATATAGATTGATCTGGAAAACTACTATGTGATTCAATAATTTGTCCGTGATGAACTGACGAGAGAGATTATCCATCTTGAGCCACTCCAGAGAATCTATTGAAATCTTTTGGCTGAACGATCTCATCCACTGTACATCATTTTTTTCTCTATCACTGGTTTCAACTCCGCGATAGTGGTATCCAATCTTCTGGGTCCCATGTATCCATATATAAGTACTGGTGTCTCGATATTCATATCAGACACTATAATGTTAAAATTGAAGTCGACATCAGTTTCCTCATCATTATCCTTGAAAAATGTCTTGGTCATGTTGTATGGTGGGACAAGTTTCGAACAGCGCCGATTTTCACATATTGTGAACGAAAAATAAACATATGAGTTGGAAAAATATAACAAGTAGGTTACCTATGTTGCCTAGATAGTATTTAATGCAACAAAAAATGTAATAACATGATAAGCATGAAATTTGCAGCCGCAATTCGAGAGGGAGAAACACAACGTACGGAACAGTTTCGAGTTCATTCTATTCACTAATAATGTATTGTTCAATTCGCTTCAGCTAAGAACTTATGATTCAAAAGACCAACATGAGTGAGTAATATGGGGCGGGAGAGGAAATAAACCGTCATACCACAAATCATAAGCCCATTGCAGAGCGGGATATATTTTGTCCAAGCATACCCCTAACCCCAAGAAATTCGTGGTTCAAATTCTGCACCAAAGTACTTGAAAGAGTTAACTCTTTCGTTTTCAGAGAAGTGAAAAAATGTTGAATCAAAAAGTTGTTTGATACGACCCAAACTTTTATTTCGTGAAGTTGCTTCTTATACAGGGTCATTCGTTTTTCCGGAAAGGACATTAACTTTGATTTTTTCCAATGGAACACCCTATATATTTTCTGACATGTCGATAGAGCCCTTTTGGCTGATTTCAAAAATATATATGAGTTGCATAGTTGGATGAAAAATAATTGAGTTATTGATTATCAAAGTTTACCAAAATACCAAATCTTCCGATGAAACTTCCTATTCATAGATAGATAGATATATAGATAGATAGATAGATAGATAGATAGATAGATAGATAGATAGATAGATAGATAGATAGATAGATAGATAGATAGATAGATAGATAGATAGATAGATAGATAGATAGATAGATAGATAGATAGATAGATAGATAGATAGATAAATAGATAGATAGATAGATAGATAGATAGATAGATAGATAGATAGATAGATAGATAGATAGATAGATAGATAGATAGATAGATAGATAGATAGATAGATAGATAGATAACAAGGGGAAGCTTTCGTGACTGTTCTATAATAATATTCTTGGAAATATTAGTGGGATGCAGTCTGGACCAATGAATTAATTATACCTTTTCAACTTCAATTTCGGAAAAAGTAATCTCGATTTCAGAATTGGTTAGTTCGATTTCAGAAATGGTAAACTCAATTTCAGAATCGGTGAGGTGAATTTCAGAAAAAGTCCATTCAATTTCAGAAATGGTAAGTTGTATTTCAGAATTGGTAGGTTCAATTTCAGAAAAAAAATCCTTATATTTGTTCGAAATGTTTCCAATTGTATGTGGGATTAACAAACCATATTTACAATATTCAACTTGTCAAAA